CTTTTTTTTGTGAAAAATAATAAAACTTTGGTAGAAAAAATTAAAAAGAATTAAAAAAAAATGGCCAGGCCCGCCCCGGGCCGCCCACAGGCCGTGGGCGGGTTTCGAGTAGCCACGAGGCGCGAGCTAATTTTACACTCTTATCAATGTGAATGTTAACATGTCAATGTGAATATTCACATTGTCAATGGGCCGGACCGGGCCCGCTCCTGGCCGTCCATGGGCCGTGGGTAGATTTCTTGCCGCCACAGGATGCGAGCCAATTTTACACTCCTATTAATGTTAATATTAACATGTCAGTGTGAATATTCACATTGTCAACGGGTCGGGCCCGCCCCGGCCTTACTCGAATTTTTCCGGGCACCCACGAGGATCGACATGGGTCGAGCCTCTACACATTGACGATATGAACATTCACATTAACGGTGTGAACATTCACATTAGGGATATTTTGGTAATTATGTCACCCATAGGACTTATTAAAACATAAGAAAATAATGTGAACTAAATGGAACATAAGTAGATGAAAATGGTATTTTGGTCTTCTTATCTCAAATAAGACCTAATGGAATAGTCAAAAAGAATATGGGTTGGATGGAATAAAATTCTTAAAAAGTGGATTTATCAAAAAAAACTCCCTATTTTTTTTACATAAAAACAAATATTCAGCATATTTTTCGTCATTATTGTTCGGACTTTTAGAATCAAACAAATTCACTTTGTTCAGCAGTCTACAGTCGAACAAAGTGAATTTATTCGGATCTAAAAGTTTGAACAGATTCAATTTGTTTGGTTCTAGAAGTTTGAATGCGAAGTTCACCCTCTCTTTCCTCCTTCGTGTTCTCCTTCACAGGTGTCGAGATTCTCTAATCATGTTCCATGTACATTCGTGAACAATAGAAAGATTTTTCAAAGGATTTTTAAAAAATATTTTGAATTTTTTAATTTAATTTATTTGGGTATACCTTAAAAGGTAATTTGAAATTTAAAAAAATATATATATACATATATATATATATTTATAGAATGTACTGAGAATAATTGTACCCTAAAAAATTTAAGAATAATGCTTGGGACCCCCTTTTGGGAGTCACCCCCTCACCCCCCCTTTGCCACGTGGCGGGTGATGATTGGAGGAGTAGGAAAAAAAAGAAAAAGAAAAAGAAAATGTAACCAATGAGAGAGAGAGGGGGTCAAAGGGGATGGGAGAAAAAGGAGGGATGAATCATTGTTGATAATTTAATTGAGTGTACTAAAAAATTGAGCTCACTTACCAATATGAAAGCTGTCTTGCTAGCCTAATGGATGGGCTGGCCCTAATCACTACAAAACCCCCCATCAACACCAAACCCAAACCCAACCACCAAACCTCCATTATGAAAGCTGTCTTGCCAGCCTAACGGATGGGCTGGCCCTAATCACTGCAAAACCCCCCTCAACACCAAACCTAACCACCAAACCTCCACAAATCCATCACCACCACGGATCGACCATTTGCCCCTCTCCAACGCCACCACTACAAACCCATCATAATAGCCACAAATTCAGCACCTCCACTAATCGACCACCGCATCCTCTCCCCCTCTCACCAACTCCAAACCAAAACCCATCACTACCTACCAACATCAAACCCACACGGGGAAGAGAGGTGTAGGAAAGAGAATTGTTGGTACATCATACCCTTTGGATGACATGGTCCAGTATGATTGGTTGTCCGTAAACCAACATCTTTTGAGAAATTAGCAAAAAATTGACTTGACTTTTTTAGCCATAAGAGTTAGCTTCTTGGGTAGTGACTTGGGTAGAAAAGCTAGCTTTTTTTTGCTAAAAAAGCTAAAAACTAGCTTTTTGCTAGCTTGCCAAAGCAAGCTAACTCAAACTTAACAAACTAAACTTTGAACACATTTCTTTTTAAGTTCATCACTAAAACCAACAATAACAAGGATAAGAAGTATTAAACGATGCAAAATTAAATCAGATAGAAGTTTGTCTTACAGTTTTTTCTTTTTTAACATAAATTCTAAACCGTTCGAATCATCAAAAGGAGACCCGTAATAGGACCCATGCCCAAACCATTCAATCCAGATTTTGGACTGAATGGGATCTTCCTCCCAAAAGCACCATTTCTGTTTATACATATTTTGCACCAATAATAGGAAAGGGCGCAATAAAAAAGTTCATAATCATCACTACAAAACAGTAACACCTAGACAAGAAAAAATATATATTATACACAATTAGCATTACACATAATTTCAGAAGAGTTCTTGAACTTCTAAAGAAGCTCATGTACGGGCCGCGATACAATTCGGTAGGCATCCCAAAAGAGTATGACCATCAGAAGGTTTGTAGGATGAAAAGAATTCTGGATCCTGCTCGAGAGACACTGCATAACTTTCGAGAATATTAACTATCTTCTCAAAATGGGGGCGCTTGTTCGGATTACGTGACCAGCATTGGTTGATGAGACTTTTAAATGCCACGGGGCAGGTAGATGGCAATGGTGGCCTTGCATTCTGCAAAAATTCCAAACTGATTTAGTACAGGAAATTAAAAGATTCTCCGGTGCACAAGAGTAACCATTATATTTAAAAGCTTGAAGAACCACTTGCCTCATATCATATCCACCAGTCAAATCTAACCACCAAAAAAATTCGTCACATATCCATCCAGAAAATGCATATTAATTGACGTGTGCGTGTGTGTGCGAGTCTGCTCCTTGAACCTTTTTTTTTTTTTTTTATTTCTCATTTTCTAATCATACATATTCTTTGGGCTTTTATGATATTCAAGGGCACAACAATAAACATTTAAGTGAAACCATTTTTGTGTTCTATTTTACGTATCTACACCATATAACCCACAAATTTGATGAAACACACTCCTGCACAATTTCAGAGATACCAAACATGCTTTAGAAGCTCCAAAAGATGTCCACCATGTGCTAAAAGATATTCCAAAATTGTCATAATGCACCTTACTTTTTTTTTGTTTTTTAAACTCAGTATCCAGCCCAACAGAATGACTTATCCAGGGGACCAATCCCAGTTTCCACCAGCGGGGGTCCAATTAAAACCAGGGCAAAACCCCATATGGACTAGCTCCAAGAAATTGTTTGCACCTACCAGGTTTCAAACCTAAGACCATGGAGGGAGCACACCCCCAAGCCAATCCCTTGGGGTTCATAACGCATCTTGCTCATAAGCCAGGCTACAAATGCACCTCCCATCTACAATAGCAATAGAATATTATCAATTCTGTTAGGTTTTTATTCTTGGCAATCCCGTTTGACAAAATTCCTTTCAGTTGTACTTATTTTCGCACTTTTTATTTCAGTGAAGCTATAAGTTTTTAGATGCGAATTCAACCCGAATTGTGCTTTGCAGAGAAGTTTTGTGATGTTAATTCTTTCAAGATTGCCACTTCGCTGATTATGACGGGGATCGAGCTGCCCGGTCAACTCGCGGGGGTCGAGGGGGCAGCGCCCCTGGCGGGTCCGGGGCAACGCCACGGAGGGGTCGAGGGGCAGCGCCCCGAAACAAAATGCAAAAATGCATTCAAAGTTGCCTCCTCGCTCGAGCGTCCATGCCCCCGCTCGAGCGAAGAATGCTGGGTTTCAGAAGTTTGTGCGCCTGCAAAAATACTGGATGTTTTTTCCCGCTCGAGCGTAGATCCGCTCGAGCGGCCAATCCGACGCTTCAGCGGAGATCGCGGGACAGTTTTCTATAAATACGTGTTTCAATCCAAATTTAGGATAACTACTCCAGATCTTCTTCTTGGGTTCTAAGGTTTATATCTGGGGATATTTTGCTAGTTTTCTTTGATATTTTGATTGAGTATTCAACTCATGGTTTAAAGAGTACATCAAAGGATTATTTGTTTGTTCTACACAAAAGAGAGAGTTGTTCTTCGGTGGATTCTGAAGAATTTGAACCTGAAACTTTGGTGGATTCTGAAGTGGCTCATCGTCAAGACAATTCCGAGGTGAAGACGGGGTTGGAAGAGACACATAGAGGTTGGTTCAATTCGGGCGTAGATTCACTAGGTAATTGAGAGTATACCTGTGTAATTCATTTATATCTTCTTAGTGGATTGTTTTGTGACCGTTGCCCGTGGTTTTTTTTATCACAATTGGAGGTGTCCAATTGTGATTTTTCCATGTAAAATCGTTGTGTCGATTTGTCTTGATTGTTTGATTGGGATTATTATATACTGCTTAAAATTGATACATAATCACAAGTCAACATCTAGGGAATTTCTAGATTTTTCAACAATAGTACATACGAAGTACCCAAAATAGTACACCTATGGACCACAATCATTCTAGGTATAGCCCACATCCTACAACTTAAAATCTACACCATACATATCATTTTCAAGGAAAAATTTCATGGTACATAGTATTTTTCCAATCGATATAATAGGGGTAAGAATAACTCACAGAAATGAAACCTGAATCCCCTACCAAAAGGCAAGTAGGGCAGGTAAGATGGCATTCCATTGGGGCTGATGTAGATGTACATTGTATATGTGGTAAGGGAATGTAGAGTGTGGAGAATAACACAAATTTATGTTGGAAATACACAGTGGGCTAGACACACCTCAAATCACAATGAGGGAGAGAAGTGAATAGGAAAAGAATACTCGGAAAATTTACCTTTACCACACTTCCATTTTCATCCGTAGAGTACATAACTATTTATAGGATCCTAAGAACATGAACCAAGACTTCAATGAGTCATGACCCTTCTCCTACATACATGAACTTTATTTACCTACATACATGAATATGAATCACTCCATGCATGTATCATGTGTTCATAGACTAATCAAAATTAAGTTTACTTTCCCACAATTTCTACTTTTGGCATGGTTTTCATACTTCAAACAAGGAACCTACATTGGAACTTTGGGAGGAAGTTCAATGCCACAGTGAATCAAACTAGAATGGGAATGGAGATAGGATCACATGACACATTATGATCAAAGGCAGTAGACTCTCTTATGTTGACTATAAATCAAAAGTTTCTCGGCAGGTATGTCTAAGAATGTAATTCCAAGGACATGACTCAACACTCTGCATGCATTATATCTTCTGATATAATTAGAGGCGACTATACCTTTCCCAATAGCATCAACAAATGTTTCCAGCACTACCTGTCCTTGTAGTTCCTTTGGTATGAATCATACCAGTTTTCTTGCTACTTGAGAAGGCATTTGTTTTCATTGCATATGGACATAACAGCTTATCTGACTTGTCCTCTTCTCAATAGGTTCAGCTCATACCTCCTTGATACTCCATCAATCAATTCTTTATTATTTTGATAAAAGCATTATACAGGAAACTTTGCTATAAGCCTATAATATTTTCAAATTGATTCATTAATCTTGTACAACCATAATTATGATACGATTGCTTGTGACGTACACATAAAAATGAAAGTAAGACTATGCAAGAAATTGATTTGTGGGTATAACCATTGTTGCGAAGTAGGCCCTGCAACTGCCATATCATCTCTAACTCAAACAAGAATCTGAATGTGGTGAGCCAGCCTGGTGCGTCATCTTCAAAATTGGTCATTGGAGTTATGGGCCTAACTTAATTGGGGCACATAAACCATCAAGTGTGGCAGCTTGGCCAGTTAGCATGCATAACACCCTAGTTTCAAGTCATTGTACCAAGGAACAATCCCGTAACATCTCAGTTGCATCTCCACCAGAGCATTGCATATGGGGCATACCGAAGCATGGCTTGGAGCACCACTTGGAGAGAGGCCGAGTTGAGTGATCCGTCAAGGTTGGGAAAAAGGCCTAGGAATTAATCCCCGGTTGGGATCACTGGAGCATTGATGGCTTAGAGGCTAAAGCTGAGGGATCATCAAGGTTGCCCGGCTCACCTCCTCGAGCTAGCTCCATCTTGAACTATCTTAGAGAGAGAAGGACAACCACAAGTAGACAAGGCCATTGTTGACCAAGGTATAACACTTTAGAAGATGTAACATACCTAACACTGCAACTCTCCCTACAACTCCCTTGATACAACCCCTAAGCCTATCATCCCTACCAATTGGCACCCCACAATTTTCAGATTGCTGAACCAAGGAGCAAGTGCCACTTGTTCTAGGTTGAACTATCACCCATGGTTCAACACCTCTAAATAAGGGAGGCTCCATGCATACATTGAAGAAATCTTTTATCACCGTCTTCATCTCCAGCAAGAAAAAGATCCCTCTGTTGCCGCTTTATCTCTCTCCTAAGATTGGCCTAACCCTCACCTCCACATCCAGTGGTTTCATGCCATCTTAGTGCCAGCCGTCTTCTCAAAAGGCAAACCCTTAGCCCATCTCATCACCATTACGGATGTGCAAAAAAAATCGTCAACTCGCCAAGCCACATTGACCCAAACCAACTCATGTAATTTAAGAAGGTGAGCGGATTAGGCTGGGCAAGTTGGATGATAAAATCAACAGGTCAGTTGACCTGTGGTCTAATATTTGTTAACTTACCTTCAAACTGACCTAACCCATCTATATATATAGGAAAAATTACCTAGCATTTTTTCACACCCAACCTCTCCCTAACCTTAATATCATTAATCAGATGACAACTTCCCCTCATTATCATCCTACATTTATTTTTCCCATATTTTGATTGTTTTGTATATTGATAGTGAAATATGATCTTGAATAACATGCCACATTTGATTAATTCGTAGGTTTTGTAATGGGATTTTGAATAAATAATACATTTTTTGGTTGAAATTGTAAAAAATATATATATTAAGATTGTATGTTCATTGATGTTCTTCCTCATTCTATATTTTTACATGCAAAAACCTTTGGTTTGAAACTGCCAAAATATTAAACCAACCCGTTGATTTTGAGGATGAGCGGGTTGGCAGCAGGTTGGAAAATTTTCAATTTGACAAGGGTGCATCGGTTGATGTTTCCCCAAAACAAACCCAAATCAACACATGCACACCCCTAAACAACATCAATCACCCACAATATTCTAGATAAAAATAATAATAACTGCTTATTGAAATGCAAATAGAAAAAGAAAGGGTAATAATTACACAAACCATCCTTGAGATTTGGAGAAAATACAAAAGTTCCATAGTTTTGGTATAATTACACCAACCTCTCTTTTAATAAGACTAAAGAAACCAAAACTAATGCAGATGGTGCGAAGACACAAGAACAAACAATGAAAAATATACATTTTCGTATAACAAAAAGGTCAACATTATTTTTCCATCCATATGATTAACGAATTATTGATCAAAAGGGAGCACAGTGCTATGTGAATCAAAACTTTAAAGGAGCTCAATGTAATTATGCCAAAATTGTGAAGCTTATTGTATTTTATCCAATACTCAAACGAGGACAATGTAATTTACCCACAAAAAAAATAAAAAATAAAAATAAAAATAAAAAATCTCGAAAACCTCAAACAAATTCCAACTAACCTTCCAGAAATATTTGCAACCATTAAAGAATTTCAGTTCCCCAGATAGAAGTTCTAAAGACCTTTGACAAGAGGTTTACAAAACTAAATTTTGAGTTGAAAAGAAGTACAATGGAGGTGGTAGCAAAAAGGGTCAGGAATGGTATGAATAGAATCTATAGTCAACATTTTTCATATTAATGATTAGTGCAAGAAGCCTATTCCTTAAAAGTTCCATATGATGCTACAGCAATGCCTAATAAACTATAATTTTTCAGCAAAGCCGCCCATGCCTACGTTACATGGACTCGGATAGGAGTATCGGGTGCAGGTGTGTGTGTCCAAGCATCAAGACCTTCATAAATCTAAATCATAAGATACTGGGATATAGATCCAAAAGTTAGATATGGGTACGGTGACACATCATTGACACACACACATGTATATATATTGCATATTGTACAACATTCTTAGATAAGGTGTTGTATATTATAAAAAATGTACTTCAAGTTATACAGGATTTAAAGAAATATGGAATTTATATCTCTCCTCTGTGTGAGAGCCCAGAAATGCTTATTTACTAGCAAATGCTAGTTTCTTCTTCTTCAAACATCACAAAAATTAAGAGGAAATTAGATATGGGAGTCAGACATGTCACACTATTACCCTTACCATTTTTTTTGATAAATCACACCATTACCCTTATCATATCTAGTGGATACAGTACTTTAGAGGAAATAGAAAAGTTCATGTAACACAGGCTCATGGTGCTCTTAACAATAACAATACAATCTTCAACTATGATACGGACACGGACACGAACACGGAATACAGCAATTTTCAAAAAATGGGGACACGGGCAAGGCAAGGGACACGGCAAATTTTTTTTTTTTATAAATATTTTTATTTTAATATACGTTAATTATTTTATTTATTTATTTCCTTTTTTAAATAATGTATTTTTAGTAATTTTTTATTTTATTTTATTTTATATACATGTGTTTTTTTTATTAATATGTATAAGTAGTATATATTATGTTATATATACTTATAAAATAATATGATTTTATTAATATTATTTTATATATACTTATATATATATATAAGAGATAAGAAAGAAAGCAAAGAGAGAGAGACGGCGAGAGAGAGAGAGAGACAGAGACGCGAGCGAGAGAGAGAGAGAGAGAAGACGACGCGAGCAAGACATGGCTCAATGCGAGACGAGATCAATGGTTCGGTGGTTCGATCGATGGTTCGAGTCAACTGGATGTTCGACGACTGGAGTCGAAGGTTTGTCTTTTCACTCTCTTCCTTCACACTCTCTCTCCTCTGTCTCTACTTCTCACCGTGTCTCATGCCGTATCCAGATCTGGACACGCGTGTCCCCGACGTGTCATACAAAAATAATAATTAAATTAAAGGGACACGCCATCTGGCATGTCCCGTACGTGTCCCCGGCGTGTCCCCGTGTCCGACACCGCCACGGCGCCGATTTTGCCATGTTCATGCTTCATAGATCTTCAGGCATCATACTAAGTGGCTCCACAAATACGGTTCAAAGTTTCATAGTTTCTAATCATTTTACTTTTAGTCCCTGGATATCTTAGATAAACCATTAAATTTAGTTATTTAATTAATACTTCTATGACTGACACAGTTTAGTCTTTAATCTTCATGCGTGTATGAATATATTGAGAATGAGTACTGGAAACTTTTACCAAGATGGGGAGCCAAACAAAAATAATATGGACCAGCACCATCTAATAGATTGCAACTCCAACCAACTTAACAAAACCAGAATTTTCTTCCTAGTTTAACTATATTGCTTCTGTTTGCTCTATGATTATAAAGCAGCCCTTCCTCGTTCAAAATTCTAACCTTAAATTTACCATTGAAGAACAGAGTTATGGTATCTGTTCTTAAAGGTTCCTATTAGTTCATTCTCAGATATCTGCGTAGTAAAATTAGGAAAAGCAAATGGTTGTCCGACTTACGATGATGGGAAATTTGAAGTACCAAAAAAAAAAAAATTCTGAATATCAAATTCGGAAACTCATCCAGTGATCACAATTTCTTGAAATACCAATTTACTAAGGGCGTCCTTCACTGAGCCATGCTTCGAATTATGATACTGACAGACTTGCTTCAGGTTTGAAGTTAAGACCGAAAAGAGTCCCTTAAACATTGTCTATCCTTCCAAACCTATGAAAGGAATTAAAGTTGAGAAGGATCAAATGTCATTTCCTGCCAATCTATATGAACAAATGACATAGTAGCATCCATATTAGTAGCTAAATGATTTCAAATGAGACATCTATCTTTCAGCAATCTGGTCCTTTTAAGAGAGAAACAGTGTTTGAGCTGGTAAAGATAATCAAAAGAACAGTGAACCCATTACTGTTAGTATAGCCATAAATCCTAGTTTCATAAGTTAAACCTTTGCACGTACATACGCAAGAGATACAAGACTTTATGATCAAGCTTGGTATCAGAGGTAAGAAATTATAATTGTCAAATGTAATCTATCCAAGACATGAGAAAAGGTCGTGCAGAAGAAAATGGGGTATATGTTCATGGGATTGCATAAAATGTATTCATTACAGGATGAGACACGCACGTAAGAGCAGGCTTCCTGTGTGAAAATAATCACAAAAGAAAGGCCAGATTCCATGAATGTACCTTTTGGCAGACAGCAAATGCAGCCTGTTCAGGAGTCATATTGTCAAATGGTGTCAATGCAGTTAAAAGCTCCCAGAGGACTATGCCAAAACTGTAAACATCAACTTTCTTTGTATGATGTTTTTCTTTGATCATTTCCGGTGCCATCCAACGGTAAGTACCTGTGAATCCCTTTGCACTGCCACATTGAGATTCCAAGCATGAGATTCCGAAATCTGCTACCTTCACACACATATCTTCACCAAGCAATAAATTTTCTGATTTGAGATCCCTGTGAAGTATCCCTTGAGAATGAAGATATTGCATCCCATGTGCAATGTCAAGGGCCAACTTCAGAACTAGGTTAAGAGGAAGTGAATATGGCTCCTGCTGATGTAGGTATTTTCTCAGTGAGCCCCCAGCCAAGTACTCAGTGATTATACAAAACACGGGGGCCTTTTTACATGCTGCAACAAACTGCATGAATAAAGTGGAGAAATACAGAGCTCAAACAAGTAATCAAATAGGAAAGTTTAGTTCCACAAACCAAATGAAATTTTTTTTTTCATGAACTCAAAATAAAATGCAGCAGACTAGCTGATTCACCAATTTTGCACATGCTTTCAGCAAATGGCAAGAGGATTTTGTGTGCGGTGTATTAATGTGTGACATTAATACTGTCCAAAGTGTAAAGCATAATAAACAATGAAGGAAGAAGTCTATGTTAAATTGAACATATTCATAGCAAGAGGGTTTCAGACATCAAAAAGTCCAATTGGTCATGCATCAGTTAGTTATGAAGAGTGAGAAAATTCTGCACTAGTATAAAGTTATTGGTATGGTAATTTTCCCTCTTCATGACATATTGAACATTGCCACCTTATAACAGATCTCTGTATCGCATGCAACTACAACTGGAAAATATGACCCAAAATTTTGAAATTATTTTTACGATGTCTTCAATGGCATTATGGCACATAAGTAATAGTCATAGAAGCATTCAGTATATGAATTATGATCCTTTACAATGAACCGTAGCCAGATTCAAGCTGGAAGTTTGTAATTTAAAATTGACCAGCATCCACAGCACAGTTAACAAAAATCTCTACTACGTACCATTGACTATATAAATTTATTAAATCCAACTGAGTGGAAATTATTATTGATTCATCTTACATTCTAATTGGGGCCAAGCATTGGGGTAGCATGTTGCAAAAGTTATTCTATATAAGATTAAGTTAGCTAACCGACCTGCTTAGCCACCCAAAATATTAAATAAGGCAAATGTTAATGAGTGTCCTGGAGCATTATGGGAATTTATGTAAAAATATTTTTAAAAAGGTCAAAGCTAAAAAGAAAAAAAAAAGAAAAAGAAAAAGAAAAAAGTTTTGAAATCAATGTAAAAGGCTTTGAAATTAGTGAAAATTATCTTGTGGTCTTCAAATTTCATTCCTTGTTTTTTTTTTCGTCTTTTTTATGCCCTAGGGGTGTTGGCAGGACCCATAAAATGTTGAAGAAAAAAACTCATTCGTTAATTTGGGAGTTATGTGCTTTTACATTTGGTTCATGCATGCAGTGGAGTTGGTGGTCCTGGGTGTATTAATATGCAAGTAGTGGAGCAGTGACTGATGGTGTTAATGACTATAATTCCTAGGGAAGAAAGTGGGTCTTAATATTAGTGTGTGAGTTACACATTAGGATCTTATATATAGCCAAGTAATCTATTTATTGGGAAAATGTTAGTGTAATGAGAGTGAATTAGTATGAGTTTTGCAGTATGAGTGAACGAAAGATTTCAATTTTCTCCTCTAATTATTTTCCAAATTATTTAAGTAATTATTATATAGCCCTTTTATTTTCCAACATAAAAATAAAATAAAACGCATTCACAAAAATAAGAAATCTCTTAGGATATTAGATCAAAAATAAAAGTAAGGATGTGCATTATGCTAATCAGAAGAACTTGTTTTTAACAGGTTGCAATCAAAGAAAAGAAATAATCACCGCAGCAATGGTCCCACCGCCAGTGCCAAACCTTCTTTGGAAAGAGAAGTATAAAGGCTAAAACTTGAACGATGCACACAGAGGTAAAGCGAAATCATGGGCAAGAGAAACAAGACAATGTCGATGAGGATCACAGAAAACACTCTCCTACTTTTAATTGCTTAAAAAGGGAAAGAAAGCATATAATTATAGGCAAAAAACTAGTGTGGTCCCAAATTAAAGCCTCATCATTGAAGGGGGAAAAAAAAACTCTGTTCTTGTGAATATGAACTTCTTTCTTGACCATATATCACTTTTCCATCAAATGCCAACTTCATTGTACAAGTCTTTACTCACCTATACATGTAAATATGTAATAGAAAACCCACAATATGAAATCATTGGAAGCGAACTTACTGAGATGATATTAGGGTGGTGCAAATGAAACAGCAAAGCGACCTCAGAAGTGAATTGCTTCTCCAGAAAAGCAGCCAAGTCTCCGTCTTCCTCGGGCAGACTTATGAGCTTAATTGCCACATCCATTTGCTTATATATCCCTCTATAAACTCTACTATGCCTCCCAGATGCAAATTTATTGCCTATAAATAGCTGCGACATGTCGGCGCTCCATTCTTCTTCTCCTTCCCCTTTAATCTCTGCACCAGATGATACCAAATACTTGGACCACGAAACGGCTCGCTTGTATTCACCGAGAGAGAGTCGTCTCTCGAGCTTGACATTGTTGGAAATCTGCTTAAACCAGAGAAACTTCTTCATGGATCAAAACCAAAACTTAACAAAATCATCAAATCTAAACCAATTGTATGTTCCCAAACCCCCAATTTGTGCATAAACTTGACAAATCGAGCGAAATAATCAAGTCTTGTTTCCTCACTCAACTACATTTCGAAGATCTTCAGCTGTAGTGTATTTGAACCAGCTCATCGTAAATGACCTCGAACAAGAATTCGAAGAACGAAACACTTTTTGCTGATCGAACCTGCTAACAACATCAACCACATTCGGCAGAGAAACAGTGTGTGTATATCTGTATCTATCTACTCATCTACACACGTACATACACAAATATGTATATTCAGGCCCCAAATCGATTAGTTGAAATCAAAGTTAAGACAAACTGAGTTGAGAATCTAGCAGCATCACCATTTTCAATACAGATTTCTGCTCAAGAAAGCTATGGAAGTTACGTTTGCAGAGAAGAGAAGCTACGATCAGATACAGAGAGAGAGAGAGAGAGAGAGTTAGGGTTTGGAACTGAGAGAGAGAGAGAGAGAGGGGTACTGTTATTTCTGGTGGTAGTGGAGTGAGAGCATATGGAGGAGGGAGGTGATAGCGGTTTTGAGTCTGTAAATCTTGCATTCATAACGTGCCAACATCTACTCCTGAGGAGACAAACCGGGTTTGTTGATACTGACAGCCCCCCCCCCCCGAATCCGGATCCTCTCCTTGCAGCTCTTGTACTTGCGCCCGTCCTTGCAGGCCTTCGGGTCTACTTTTAGGACCAATTTTGATAATCCGAACCGTTTATATTTTATGATTTATTCAGTATATCATACCTGTAAAAAATCAAGTTGATCGGATATTAGAAAGTATGTGTTCGAAAAATTGAACTAAAAACTATTTTTTAAAGAATTTAATAAATAGTTTTCCGAACATATGCTTTTTGATATCCGATCAACTTGATTTTTTACAGTTATGATATACTGAATAAATCATAAAATATGAACGGTTCGGATTATTAAAATTGGGCCTAAAAGTAGACCCGAAGACCTGCAAGGACGAGCGCTTTTCATAAAAAATCAAGAGTTATTTTTAAATATTTTAATTACGACTATCTCTTTTGCATTTTGCCCCTTACTTTCCACTTAAATTCTCAGCAATGCCATCAAATAAAATTTTAATTTTTATCACCTTTAAACTTTTAGAAATGATTTTTGACAAGTGATTAAAATAATTAAAAAGTGAAAAAAAAAAAATCATTTTCGTAATTTTTTAAAAATTGGTGAAAAAATTATTTTCAAAAAAATCATCATTCTTTTATTTGTTGTATCCTTTTCGTAAAAAATCAAGAGTTATTTTTAAATATTTTAATTATTTATATCTCTTTTACATTTTGCCCCTTACTTTCCACTTAAATTCTCAGCAATGCCATCAAATAATATTTTAATTTTTATCACCTTTAAGCTCTTAGAAATGATTTTTGACAAGTGATTAAAATAATTAAAAAGTGGAGAAAAAATCATTAAATTTTTTTTTAATAAAAAGTTAAAAAATTATTTTCAAAAAAATCATCATTCTTTTATTTTATTTTTTTTGTATGTTTTTCATAAAAAGTTAAAAGTCATTTCTAAATATTTTAATTATTTATACTTTATGTTTTAGAGTGAGTTTAAATATAATTTATTTTGCAACATTTTATAAAAAGACGTGTAAAAAAAATATAAATGTGATGTAATGTAAACAAATGAATAAATAACTTATTTGACTTGTGATATAAATAAATCAAAATTCTAAAAAAATTACGACAAAAAAAAAATACTCTCAAAGGAGCTCTTATTATTTAATGAATTTGATTAATTTTTGTTACAACCTTTTGGGTGCCTTTCAAAAAAAAAAAAAAAAACTTAAAGAAATATAGGGGTTTTGGGAACTTTATAAAAAAAGTCAATTTTTTGACTTTTTAATTTTTTTTTACACAAATAAACTTTAAAAAAATCACAAAAAAGCCAAAAAAATTATAAAAAAAAAAGAAGTCAAAAAGCTTATTTTTTACCAACTTTCCAAAACACCACATAATAAATTACTTTACTAAATTATTAAATTGTTTACCAACTACACCTACACGTGTAACTAATAGAATATTCGGTAGATTATTAGCAGAGATATACCCAATTAGGGTTGTAATGATGGTTCGGGCTGGACCCACTCAGATCGGCTCATGGCAGGCTGCGCAAGCTCTCATCTTTTTAGCAGATGGGGCCGCTGGCTGAAAAGTGAAGCTCAGGCCCACTTAAATTAGGGTCTAGGGCTTGGGCTTGGGCTCAAGCCCGGGCCATGAGTCGAGCCTGGCGAAACTAGTTTTTTTTCGCAAAAAATAAATGATAAATATATTATTATGTATATTGATTATTTATGAGGAATAAAAATAAAAAAAAAATTGTACTAGAGTATTTTAATTAAAATTAATGAGATGTTTAATTATGTTTCATGTGTGGTAGCATTTGAATTTAATTATGTATGACTTATATTTTTTTGATTATGAAGTTATGACTAAAAAAGCATAAAATTATGTAATTTTTTTTCTTTTGAAATAAATAATTGTATATATATATATTCAAATAAAACTTGTAATATTACAATCATTAAATTAAATAGATAACATTTATTAAATGAATAATTTTTATTTCAAGATGAAATAAAATATTACAAAAATTTATATCATTAAATAAAACATATGTAAATTATTAATGATTGTGTCACTATTGGTCAAATACATCCCAACAAGGCTGGCACTGTTGGAACAATCTTCTGTGTAAATAAAATAAACTGAAATTAATTCAAACAAAATAAAGTAAATAACTTACAAAGTTTATTTTATTGAACCGAAAAAAAAAGACCAAGTCGAGTGTGTGACACTCAGTCCTCAAGACAGATTTGCCCCGCTACGGTGCTTACGGTTATGTGGCGTCTATCTCCCAGGATACAATGATCTTAACAAATTTGTAGTAGCACTTCAACGAAATTTGTCTGGCAAACTAAAACCTTGTGTTCTATAACTCTCTGAAATTTTCCCTAAAATAATATGAAGAATAAAGGATGCAAGAGAGCAAAATGAAGGCAAGGAAAATGAATTTTTAGAATCAATCAAAATTGGAATGGGGTTGCCTTTATATAGGCTTTGTTGACACCTATTCAATTTGAATAGAAAATGTATGAAGAAGGGACATAACTCTTCCTTTAAAATAAAAAGACACCATGAAAGGTTACACCCTTTCATTCAAAATGAAGTCTATTTCAATTCACAACTACCTCTTTATAAATTTTCCAACAATCCCCCACATGAATGAATTTGACAGAGAGAAAATGCAACAACATGATGTAAACACAGAGAGTACAGAAATTAAAAATATTTTGCAAAGGATATGTAGCTTTTGGCTTTGAACCTTCTCTTGTGAGACACTATCGGATTTACTAGCTAACCAGTGAACATGATGTCTTGAACTGTTCAGCCGTTTGTGCAAACCAAGACAATAGAACTCACACAGTATATCCCCAGACACAGTTTAGTTCTCACTATTGTGTTCATTTTGGCCCTGAACAACCTGGTCTTTCATGAGTGCTCTAGAGAATTGTAACCCTTCACAAATCTCATAGAACCGGCCCAGTTCACACTCACATCGGTGATTCTTATAAAGAGTATCATGCTATACTCCACTAGGTTTACCTAGATATAAGAATCATTAAAAGTTGTACTTAACCTAAAACGCTGCAGACATCACTATTTTATCAAAGAAATGGATAGGAGTTAGACTCCCCAGTGATCCTTCTAAGTCATACACAACTCGGTTGTCCCTTTAAACCTAGATCTTGGAATCTCCAGTCAATTAGGTTGGGTTGCCGTTGTGGTAACTTTCATTTAATAGGCTTAAATCCCATTCCCCTCGATGAATTCTCAACTAACTCTCTTGCTAACCCTTTGGTTAGTGGATCCGCTATGTTGTCTTTAGACTTCACATATTCAATGCAAATAATTCATTAGAGAGTAGTTGTCTTATGGTATTATGTCGACGACGAATATGTCGAGACTTACCGTTATACATATGACTCTATGATCTACCTATTACAGATTGACTATCACAATGTGTGCATATAGCAGGCACCGGTTTTGGCCATATTGAAATATCTTCAAGGAAGTGGCGAAGCCATTTTGCTTTTTCCCCTGTTTTGTCTAAAGCTATGAATTCTGATTCCATAGTAGACCTAGTAATACAAGTCTGTTTGGAAGATTTCCAAGATACAGCCGCACCACCAAGAGTAAAGACATACCCACTAGTGGACTTCGAGTCTCTAGTATCCGATATCCAATTTGCATCACAGTATCCTTCAAGTACTGCTAGATATCTAGTATAATTAAACCCAATGTTACAAGTAAATCGGAGATATCTAAGAACCCTTATAATTGATTTCCAGTGTTCTACTCCCGGATTACTCGTATATCTACTTAATTTACTTGCTGCATAAGCTATATCTGGGCGAGTGCAGTTCATCAAGTACATTAAGTTTTCAATAATTTGGGCATACTCTAATTGAGAAATACTTTCTTGTACATTCTTAGAAAGATACAAATTAACATCTACAGGTGTTCTAGCAAGATGATTATCATCTTTGCTGAATTTGTCAAGTATTTTCTCAATGTAATGAGATTGTGACAAAGCATATCCTTCTGATGTTTTGGTAATTTTCATACCAAGAATTACATCAGCAATGTCCATGTCCTTCAGGTCAAAATGTTTATTCAACATTTTCTTGGTAGTTTTAATCATATCATTATTACTATCTATGATGAGCATATCATCTACATAAAGACACACAATGACATAACCTTTGTCTGTGTTTTTAATATAAACACATTTGTCACACTCATTAATTTTAAATCCATTTGACATCATTGCCTTGTCAAATTTCTCATGTCATTGCTTTGGCGCTTGTTTTAAACCATATAATGATTTAACCAATTTACACACTTTCTTTTCTTTTCCTGGAACAAGAAAACCTTCTGGTTGTTCCATGTAAATTTCTTCATTTAACTCACCATTTAAGAAAGTGGTTTTCACATCCATATGATGAATTTCTAGATTGTATAGAGATGCAATGGCAATTAGCATTCTAATGGATGTTATTCTAGTAACCGGTGAGTATGTGTCAAAGTAATCAAGACCTTCTTTTTGTTTAAAACCTTTGACCACAAGTCTTGCCTTATATTTGTCAATTGATCCATCCGCTTTCAATTTTCTTTTAAAAATCCACTTGTACCCAAGTGATTTACAACCTGGTGGCAAATCCACCAATTCCCAAGTGTGATTTTGCAAGATGGATTCAACTTCACTATTGACAGCTTCTTTCCATAAAGGAGCCTCAGGACTGGACATAGCCTCTTTAAAAGTTAAAGGTTCATTTTCTAACAAATATGTTAGAAAATCTGGACCAAAAGATTTTGAGGTTCTAGCACGTTTACTACGCCTAGGTTCCTCTTCCTCATTTTAATCTAACTCTTGTTATTGATCATGTTCTTGATCCTGACTAGTAATGGCA